GTCAATTTCTGTCAACTTTTCACAAACTCGTTTGTTTTCAGGCCTGCGAGTCGCGCAATCGGTTTGCAGCCAATCACAAGAAGGCTGAGTCACGTGTCCATGTTGACGCTCAAAATCCGGTGGCGCCCTCTTCCAAAAAGTGCAGACTTTGCGAACAGAGTTACCGTACTTGTGTGAAGAACAATAGACGCGAAACTAAGAAACTGTGCTATTCCTATTCTTATTCTTGAGAAACGAAAGAGAGCTTCAAAAAAAGACTGCAGCGCCATCTGAATCAATGCACGGACTTCCACGGACACTTTTTTGGCCGAGTGAACTGTCTTGTTAGGAACGTATTTGATAATAGAAAGTTATCGATGTAACCCATGTTTATGGGATTCCAGGCTGCCGCAGCACTGCAACAGGGAACTGAGGAAAGGAGCCCCGGAAGCCATTGAGGTTAAGGGTTTTTCTACGTTAACTTCCAGGTCGTCGGGTACTATCGCGGCGGGGTTGTAGTATGCACTGACCACCAGAAAACCACCCGACCCGATCGCACTAATGGGCACCCTCTATTAGCATTTTCCCCCTTCCTTCTAAACGATGTTCTGGGCCCTATCTTCTTCTCGATGTGAAGGTCGAGATGAGAATAGGACCCCTTATCGGGCTTTTTTTAACCCCCCCCCCCCCCCCCCCCCCCTCTCTCTCTCTCTCACACACACACACACACACACACACACACACACACACACATACACACCTTCCCTAGGTGCTCTCAAAAGAAACAATCTCCTTTTCTTAGACAAAGAGATCTTGGCGGAACATGCAATGTTATTTGAATGAGGTTGCTTCAGTACAAAGGGACTTTATTGTTAACATATTTAGGGCAAAGTACTGAGATCTGCTGGGTGGGCAGGAGGGGGTGAAAAAATCCGTGTCCGAACCGAGGCTCGAACCCGGACTCCGCTTCTGAGACGAGCGCACTAACCGCTCCGCCACCGCACCCTCAGATCTCAGTACTTTGCCCTAAATAAGTTGTCTCACTAATAAGGCAATCCCCAATGCCCGGATCGGATGCGGGAACAACGTTACTTTACTTTACTTTACTTAGATCTACAGCAGATAATTTGATCTCGGGATGCATCACGCTTAGTCGCATGCGCATACAGTGCTGATAAGTTTAGACGTGTGAACCTTATGAAATATATAAATAAAGGTCTAAAAACGAACTATGTTTTTAAGAGATTCGCATCTGAGGTTATCAATAAAAATAAAAGGTAAAAATAAAAAGGCTAAAAACATATGGTGTTGTTAAAGAGATTCACCTGAGGTTATCAGACAAAACCCATCACGTGCAGTGCAGCCAGAACAGTGGTCCCGATGCTGAATAATGATTTATATACTGACTCTTTAGCTTAGTACTTTAGGTCATGATGTTGGCTAAGTATAATACCACAGAACTAGAAGTGCGACAAAATGCGTTTTTGATCAGGGTTATTTTACAATTCCTTTTTTTTTTAAGCCGGCATCTTAGACTGTCAAAGAGTACTCAAATACGTAGATGATGAATTTAGATTCGAAAATCCGGACCCTAAAGAGATGGGATGCAGTTGGACAGAAGTGGAGACATTAACTCAAGACTGAAGATGCTGATGAGACCCCCTACT